TTAGGAGTCATCGCTAGCAAGGTTCCCGACAGGCCTGGACTCGCAGAGGATTTAGGAAAAGCCTGCTCCTCCACCACTGCTTCATAACGTGTTAACATTCCTTCACGAGTCGGAGTATCACCTCACAGCGAAGGACTTCCTGTTGCATGGTGCCGTACTGTAATGAATACATCCCCTTCATTCCCTGTTCCCTAACGTACACACATTCTTCAGTCATTACTAATGGATGCTGGTCTGTTTGGTTTTTACAACAGGCCTGGCAGTTATTAAATACACACCGCCATGTTTGTCGCTAACGTTCGTGCATTCCTCTACAGATGTATGATGGCGCCCACGCATCACAAGTAACTGATAGAGAAAATAAGCAAAGATATTTTGTTGATAGTAAACAGAAAGTAGTTATAATAGATAATCGACTGTAGGGTGTCGAGAGTACCATTCCTCTTTCTGAGTCGACAAAAGGAGTTGAAGGTGAGAAAATGTAAATTGAGGATGGATTGGCTAAAAAAGGCCCGTTGAGTCTCGCGGATTAGAAGATACATGAGGACTTCAACTCGATGCCAGAGGTGTCAAGGTTCATGAAATTCAAAAGCTGTCAATGGAAACTTCTTTGTGACCTGAAGCTAAAAGCCTGTGATTCAGACCTATCTCTGAACTTGAGAGATAGCAAAAGACACACATGGCAGGTGCCGTGTAATGGATGCTGAGAGTTCAAACAATAAGCCATTCATTAAATGATTAGTTGTTCAACAGACATTTTAGCAGCTACAATTTTGATAATCATTGCTTATTTATATGATGTATTATGCACAGTATATATGTATGCACTTATACTGTATGTGCATGCTTTATCATCTAGATGAAAACTGAATACAAATAAAAAACAAGGAGTGAAAAAAACATACAAAATAAAAACAATATCCTAAGACAATATTGCTTGGTTAAAACAAATGTAACTTAACTTAAATAAAATAACCCAAATTGTTTACATTTGTACTTTGTTAGCTTTAATAAATTACTGCCAGACAAAAAAGAAGACTGCCTGAATTTTTTGAATTTGACATTTAGCCCCAGAAATTGAACACAATTGAAAAGAACATAGCTTAATATAAAGATCAAATACCATTAAACCAAGATGGTCAGCGTGTGGTAGTCAAAGAGGAGCCAAAGCAACATTTTCAAACATTATGGTCATTCTTACAGAGTTCTCTAGTACTCTATATATTGTGTTTGTGTGTCCATGTAGTTATATATTTCTGAGACATTATGCCTGGCCCTTAAAAAAAAAAAATTAATATATAAAAACCTAAGCCTTCTTACAACTGAAACCAACTAGCAAACACAATCAGAAAACATGCTGCACCTAAATTAAAAATAAAAATGAATTGAAAAAGTAAAACTATTAAAGCCTTGTATGCAGTGCACATTGTTTTCTCTTGCACATTGGGCAACAGTAGAGGACACATGCACACTTTATCATGTTTGGTCTACCATCGGGGAACACAATGCTGCACTTTTGCTGCGTTTTTTTTCAATTGCTGTGTTTGCTTTTTCTACTTTTTCATCCACACATCAATCCACACGTAAGCCTGTTAATCCATGCATTCATCCTCAGGGCCTTAAAAGCTGTCTCGCAGGGACACACACAGGTGGCAGTGAACAGGTCTGTCCACTATGCAGGGTGACCTGATGCCCCGAGGAAGAGACACACCTTTACTTACCAAGACTTCTGACCCGGCAGGAACTCAAGACAATGACCAAAGTCCTAAAACGTAAGGTCGTCTACCGTTAGTTCATGAGGCATAATGAATAGTCATAATTGGTAACAGTGTGAGGGTATGATAATTACTGAAAATAGTGTGACGCATTTGCATGTTTAATGACATGAAACAGAATAAAAGTAACTTATTGATGTTGCTGTAAAGATGTTTGTCTGTCAATCGTATTAGAGAAATTGCAAAAAGAGGCTTTTAAATGGGCTTTTAATGTTTTCTAATTGTCATGTTAAGCAATAAATCATTGCATTGCATGCAATAAATCCATCATAAACAAGTGGTTATTGACAATTAACGATAAAAATGATAGTGAGCTGACATACAAGGCTTACAGTAATGTGTTGTGTTTGCACTACTTGCAGGCTGCAGTTCTATTGTTTCTATTTGTGTAAACTGAAACATTATGTTATTCATATTTTGATAATGACGTTAATTGTAAGGTGGATAGAATGTATTTGTACTTCATATGAGGTAATGAAGTGGAAAAGAGATTCACCTGCATACCTACACACACCTGTTAACACCATGAGGAAAAAACACCTGTCCCAACCTCTTCTGTGTCTGTGAGCTATAATCAGTGTCTTAGTGATAAATATCTACAGCGGCCTATAGTGCCACGTCTCATTGCAACAAGTCGAGAGGGACACTAGACTGTAACAGGCGCGGCAGGATAGAAAGTAGATTATGTTTGTATGGCTCAATGGCTTCCTTTGCGTCAAAGAAATGACTTCTGCTGTTGCTTTATAGAGCACTCAATGGTTTAGGGAAAACATAACTCTGTGAGCTGCTGCTGCATTATAACTGACCAGATCTCAGATCGTCTCGGACAGCTCCACTTACTGTCCTCAGAGTCAGAACTAAACACAGCAAATAATCAAAAATCACTTATGAACCACATACTTCGAAAAAACTTGAGATCTGCTACACAACTCAGTGATTTTTAATAAGAGGTTAAAGCTTTCCCATTTTTCCACAGCTTTTGAAAAAATGCATGTGGGATTATTTATTCATATCTTACCCTGCACTGTAGCTTTGCTGTCATTTGAATTATCATTTTTAATCTATTTTATTTTAGATTGTTTTGTCTCTTCATTCATTCACTCATTTTGATTTACACTCTTTAAGTGCTTTTTATGTTCAAGGATCAAGGCTTTTATTAGCCATACGTACATAGCTACGGTGTAGTTATGACGATGAAAATCTTAGGTCCCAGGCTCCACCAACAGTGCAACACAATACAACAGAAAAACCGAACAAATAATGCAAGTAAATACAAAAAGAAAATAGTGAAATAGTGCAATAAGAGTCTATACAAGTGATTGGAATATGATATATCCGATAAATCATTTGTAAGTTGCAGCCAGATGAATGTTATGGATGTTGTTTCAATGTGTGTCTCTATATATGGTCTTGTGTATTATGCATATATTGTCTTAATGGTATGTATGGAAAGCACTTAGTATTGCCTTGTTGTTGAAAGACACTCAAAGAAACTTGCCTGCTTTAACTAATATAATTTTAAAGCACAAGTCTACAATAAATTCAGCTCCATATTCATTGATAAATTAAAGCTTGGCATATTGTAAACTATACAAGCAAGCCTAACTGCAACCTGAAAAGCATGCACAACGGAACCCGGTTTGCCAAAAATAAATACTTCATTTTCATATTAAGAATTCAGGCATAACAAATCACTGCAGGCAAAAGGTGAAATTAAAATGCCAATCAAACATCAAAGGACAACGGAGAATGTGGATGTCCTGGCTTCAACATGAGCACAATGGGACAGGTCAATGCAATCCTCTCAGCTGCGGTGTTTCACTCCCTCTGTTGGTTAGCAATTGAAATGCGAAAGTGCATTTTGTTTCAAATTTTGTGTAAAAAATGTAAAAGCACATTTTGCATCACATCAAGCTATATGTTATCGTGTTGAAAACTGAGAGTGGACTCGAGTTTTAACATGTCAAACACATGTTTAAGGTGTCAACTTATTTTTAAGTTGAGTAATTCTTAAAAAAAAGTACATGGTGATACTGCTTACTGGTGTTACCATAGTAATTGTCCTTTGCCATATTTATTGCCAATATTGCAGGTGGAATCATGACTAATCAGTTACCCACATAATTGTTATCTGCTTTAGAAATATGAAAACGACTCTCTTTGTAGCTAACACCCTTCATTGACCTACCTTTGTTTTTTCCACATATCCTATTATAGAAACACTGTTGCTGACGTACCGTGCCGTGTCTATCCTTCCCTGTTGCAATGACACAAACAAAAGAGAAAACATACCTTTAGTGTTAGTCAGGATTATAATATGATGCTATGCTGAGAAAGTCATTTCTTTATTCAAAACAAATTGTTTCAGAGATGAATGGGAACAAACACCTTGTGTCAAGAGCATTTAGCCTATTTGAAATGAATGTGTGTGTTTTTGCTTTCTCTTTCAAACGTGTTTGTGTTGTGTTACTGATGATTGTATTCGAAAATGTGTTGGCCAATGTATGTTTATAAGAAGATACATATTTATTATGTACAACCATGTATAGATATATTTCATTTTTTGCAATAATGGCAATTCTGCTTCTATTAAGTTGTTAATTGTGAGCATGAATGTCTATAAACTCAAACTCTTTAACAAAAAAAGAAATACAAAATGGTGCGGTTGTGTAGTAATTGTCTGGCTAATAGCAGCAGGGTTGTGCTCTAAATGATACCCATTAATTTCCTGTCATTTGAGTTATTGAGTTATAGTTGTTGTTCAATACTTTCCTACTCAGCAGTAATGCCCATTTAACATGAATACCAGTTACATGGCACAGCCTAGTGTCCTTAAGTGGTACTGCAGGCTCCATTATAGAGTAAATCAAAGAAAACTCATTAAAATTAAGGAATTGTTAACGTTTTACGCTAACGCTACATTACAACTTATTTAGCTAACGATTTTAAGCGACGTACTCACATTTCCATAACGTCGACAATTTGGGTTTAGTGCCCAAGAACACCTCAACATGTTGACTTCAGGGGCTGGAAAGCGAATTACTGACACTGAGAAGTCAATACGTCTTTTGTTTGTCTTTATAAATAACAACAGAAACTCGAGCTACCCGTTATGTTATCTTATTTATCAAGTTTGTAAAGAAACCCTCGTCACAGTCCATGGTCACGTGATTCAGGCGTAACTGCGTCAAGGCGTAGCCTGAACAGGTGGAATTAAACCCGGAAGTGAGATGCTCGTCACAAAGATGGCGTCCTCCTCTGCGTAATGCCAGATAAACAAAAGAATATGAGAAAAAAATCACATAATGTCTCAGCGACAAGATTAAATGTTTGGTCTTTGAATGTCTGGTCACTGCTGATAAATAATAAGCAGCCTTCGAGGGCACCATGGATATGAGCAGCGCCTACGGAGGCTCCTACACGGTGAGACCTGTTTACTTTTTAAGGGTTTTGTAATACTTTAATTTACTTTTTCCCAATGATGGGTGTTGAACAAAACGTACATCATGGCTGTGTATGTACATTATTTGCCTTTTCACGCCTAATGTTTTTGCATATTGTAAAAAACGAGATAATCTAACGTCGCTGTATGTTAGAAGCCGGTAGAAAGTGAAAACATAATTTTAGTAACAGTAAAGCTCAAATTAAGTTTTACGTATAGTTTGTACAACTGTATGCAACATAACCAATGTATTTCATGTTTTTGTTCCTTAGGATAATCTTATTGGGACTTTACTTGCCATTTTTGGAAATGTGCTTGTCAGCATCTCCCTCAGTATTCAGGTACAGGCCTCTGTTCAAACATGGTTCAAACATTTCTCTTAAAGTGTTTACTCTGCCATCATAGCAAACTGTAATAGTAAAGTGAATATGTGTCCTTCAGGGAGCACTTTTAACTTATTGCCCACTGGCCAAATGGCTACTCAATGTTCCAGTTTTACCAGCTACACAAATTATTAGATAATATTGCTTGTCAGTGATGCACATCTAGTAGCTGCTTGCACATTTAACCAATATTTGGACAGAATATGGTGCTACTTTGGTACAGGTCTCTTATATGGAACAGTTTAGTTTCTCTAACTTCTGTGTGTCAGGTCCTCTGATCCACATAACAATAACCCTCTCAAAAAGCTGCTATATAGTATTGTCAACCTTTTAATTGAAACTTATATGGAAGCAATAATATACAATTATCAATGTTTAACACATTGAGTTGGTCCCTGATAGATTGACAATCCTATTTGTTCTAATTTGTACTATCTCTAATGCTAAACCATTTTGCCTTGAGTGTTTGGTTTAAGCCTCCTCTACATGTTTGCCTTGTCTTAACTTAGTAAACTGAACTTTACTTTGTGTTTACCCTGCACGCCTTTCACTCTCAGAAATATAGCCATGTGACGTTGGCAGGAACTAAGGACCTGCGGTCCTTCTACCGCACCAAAACTTGGTGGTGTGGTTTTGTACTGACATGCCTCGGGGAAGGAGCCAACTTCATTTCTTATGCCTTCGCCCCCCTCGCACTGGTAGCACCTCTAAACGCTGTGTCAGTACTTAGTAAGTATTTGTTTTACTTATATTTTAGTAGTAAATGTTCTGCTTATTGTTATCTGCCAGAGAAATGAATAAAAGCAGTCTCAAATGTATGCATAAAATAAATTAAAAGGGAAATATTTATTAACCTCCTCCTTTTCTTTTCATCTCAGCAAGCTCAATTTTGGGCCTTATTTTCCTGCGTGAGAAATCCAAGCCAAAGGACTTTGCAAGTAAGCTCAGCAAATGTGTGTTAGTGAAGATACATACATGCAAATAACATGGAATGTGTGCCATTGCATTCAAATGTTCAATTGGCCTCATGCCAAACTTGACTAAAAATATACTGCCTGATAAGCTGCTAAAGTTTAATGACTGAAGTAACAAAGTCAAAAGATGTGTCTATGTACAGGACATATTTTGTTGAATATATAGTTTTGTGAGTGAAAATGTAAAAAATAATTGTCAAATTAGAGTTCAATGTTGTGTATAAATGTATATTCCATGTTCATTCATAGTAAATGTCCTAACACTGTTATGTTATTCCAGAGCGCTATGGGCTGTCCTTCCTGGGCTGTCTCCTAACTATAGGAGGAACATATCTATTTGTAGCATTTGGACCAAACTCTCATGAAAAACTCAAAGCAGAGAACATTGTGAATCACCTTGTAGGATGGCCTGTTCTCTTGTATCTGGTAAGACATTTTAATTACATTTTTTAAGTTGAAAAAGTACAGGGCTCCATCTACAGTTGACTCAATTTGCCTCTGCTAACCTGTGGGCCTACAAAATAATTTAACATCTGCCAATATAACATATTTAAAGCAACACAAAAGCCCTGCAGTACAGGTTTGATGACTTATTTTATTTAAGCTGATACTTTCAAAAGTTATGAATCAACTCACTGGTCCCTCCTTTAACAAACATATGTGTCTCTACAATTTGCCAAATTGAGGTTGTAATTTACATACCAGGAAGTCGGGCAATGAACAGTCACTTGCACAAGTGAGTCATTAAGGTTAGGGTTATTTCATAGAAACATCTCACGGAGGTATTAAGAGGATAGTCACTCCCTGTATTATCACAAACACTGCATAATTATTTAATGGTCCAAGTGGTAATAGCCTCTTAATTCATAAATACATCCTTTAAGCCAAACACAGTGGACAACAGTGTTAGCAGTATGTCCAAGTAGTTAACACTGGATGAGAGACAAACGGAGGGATACTTTCTTTAAAACACTACAAGCTGCAGCAACAAATATACTCTTCCACATTATGGTATTAACCAAATGTCCCAGCTCTCTCTACTGTTGTTGTTGTTATGTAGCAAAAAGATTTGTTTCTAGCTGTGATCCACAAAGGACCGCAGAGCTTCCTGTTCCATGTTTATTGGCTGTTAATTTCCTGTTTGTTGTTTCTACCCCCCTTATTGACAGCTCCTGGAGATCATCACGTTCTGCCTGCTTTTATACTTCTACAAACAGCGCAATGCTAACTCCCTCGTTATTATTCTGATGCTGGTCGCTCTATTGGGTGAGTGTCTCTCATTAAAGCCTTTCAATGTAATACCGCCAAGCTGTTTACCATATTTCATTAGAATATTAGAATCACAATTCCCTCATGGTTAATGTTTGAAATGCATTTGAGCTTTTGTGAAACATTTTTTGGTTTGTTTTGTATTTAATTGTGCTGTTCTTTCTACCTTTTATGCACAGGCTCGGTCACAGTCATCACAGTGAAGGCGGTGTCAGGCATGTTGGTTCTCACATTCGAGGGCACCATGCAGCTGGACTACCCGATCTTTAGTGTCATGTTTGTGTGTATGGTGGCTTCAGTGGTCTTCCAGGCTAGGTGAGTGAACATCACAGATAAAGAGTTTACTGAGTCTGAGGTTGTGTTTTTCATAACATTGGCTTCAATTCAAGATTTTATAGTTTAGGTCAGGGGTCTGCAACCTTTTTGACCAAAAGAGCCATTTTGCTCCTTTTTCCCCAAATGTTTTTTCTCTGGAGCCGCAAAACATATTTCATAGCTTGATAGCTTATAATGTTGTATTTATTGTTATATCAGACAAAAACTGAAGTTTGTTTGCATTGATTAGGCTATTTATTACATTATATAAAACTGTTAACCTCTAATAAGAAACAAAGAACTCCTCTAAGGAGAATTACAAATAATACACAGGCCTACTTTAAAATAAATTAAACACAGCACTTGGGGAGTCCTCTGCACATTTGAAGGAAAAAATATATAATTATAATGGGCCCACTTTGAAATAAATAAAACATATGGCTGCACCCTAAAAAGAGTTAACGGTGGGGCAGGTAAGAATGGAGAAACCAGCTCGAGTGCGCTAGAATTTGAAAATACACAACCGGAAAAAATATGCCTCTTCCTTCAGACTTCCTTACGGAGTCCCTCTTCCAACACACACAAACGCGCATCATCAATGAGGCCACGAGATAAGTTTGTGCACAGATGGAAGGCTGACAGGCAGGTAGGCCATCAAGTTATTTTAGCCGGTCCCGAGACCCGAGAAAAAGAGGGAGGGCTCCGTTCGCAAAGAGGACGACATTTAGAGGGGGCATCAGGTGGTCTACTTTTTGTGGGTGGCAGAAGCGGAACGAAGGTCCCCTGCTCCCTTGGCACGCCGTCTCAAAGCAATCTTAAAAAAAGCAGCCAGTTGTACAGGCAATTTCAAATTTAAGAGATCTGTTTTAATAATGCGAGCGGCAAGTTTCCCGCAAAACAAATAAGAAACAATAAATACTCGAAATTTTTGTTTACTTATTGCTGAGATATTTATTATCTATTCTTATTATATGCCGACAGAGAAAAGAGCGGAGAGGACTGTCGGCAGTCATAAAAGCAATACTCCTTTACTAGCATATCCGTATTAGTGTCTCGGCAAAACCGGGTGGGTCTCGACAACCCAGGCGTCTAATGGGTGGAACCGCTGGACAATAGCGATAGACGCAAAGGCACAGCCGGTGCAAATATACTATCGTCTTGACATCGCCCTATGGCTGGGCAAAGCAGTCCGAGGTCCCGCAACAAACAAACACACGACAGTCCTTCATTATACGTTGGTGGCCAGTTATTTGGCAGTTCTAAATTTCGAAGGTCAGTTTTGTCTCAATAATCGAGGCCTATCTATTGAGTGGTCGATGGTGTCGGTTCTGCATCTCTCCTACACTCAACTTTACCGATAGTCCTGACTAGTACGTCAATGTTGATCTCTTTGATTTTTGTATCTCCTGTTGTTTTATATTTTAGTCGTAACTAAATTATTTTGAACTTTCTGTTAGTGAATCAAGATAGTGGGATTGGTACCCGGCCGTTGTCGCGGTGCGGCAGGGGAAATTGGGGAGACGAGACCGAGGGACTGAATCTGTTTTTATTCTCTTTATTTTACTTTTACTCAAACATTGATAGAAAGATAAACACGTACCAACTTTTACAAAGCCATAGAACCATGAAACTCACTATGACACTGTGTATTATTCTTTGTTTTTTGCCAAAATTTAATGGCACAGTTTTTTTTATACCGCCAGTGTAAGCGAGCGATGCGAGGACGCGCTAGCGGGAAAAGAACTCCGTTTATTGGACTGGGGCGAGCGTCTGGCTTGAATACCTATTAGTTCTTGTTCAATGGCCTCCGCTTCGTGTCCTAATTAAGACAGCGACCGAGCGCGAGAATATACGAAAGTGTCGTTTGCTAGAGAGCGCGAGAAATGGCCATACAAACTCATAAATCTCTCTTCAACAGTTGCGCACGACGTCGGAATGCATAGCTCCTTCGTTGTTCCCTCTCCTTCTGTCGACTGTTAGAAGTCAGTATTAAGTTACGCCATACAAGTTAAATAAAGTCTTTTGTGAAAAAATATAACGTGCGAGGGCTATCGTTACTAGTATAATTTACGGATAACTGTTATTTTGTATGGTATTAGAGAGACCTGGCATCGCGACATTTTTGGTGCTGGTTAGTAAA